ATAGGTCCAGCTTCATCACTTTTTTCAGTTTTCCAAATTTCAACTTGTTTCCAAGAGAACGGGTCAGCTTTGGCCCTGTTACAGGGTGCGTGGGAGTGTACACACACACACACGCGTACACACACACACACGCGTACACACACACACACACACAGTTTTCACAAAGTCGTGATGATGGCTGAATCCCATGCTTGTGAGATTGATGAACAGGAGTGCACCTTTGGAACGAACAGTCATATCTGTGTGTATGTGTAGAAAGGAAAGGAGAGCACAGTATATAGACTGTGGTGTTGGGATTGTTGAAGAATGTGTAATGAAGTAATAATGAGGTCTTTTTCGTGGTCCAAATGACAAATATGAAAAGTACATAAAGAGAGAGGACTAGAAGGAATGCAGAGTGTCCTTGGACACAGTCCTTCTCTAGGTATTGGGCAGTGGTATTAAAAATGTGAGCACTGCCAGGTGCGGTGGCGCACACCTGTAATCCCAGGGGCTGGGGAGGCAGGAGGATCATGAGTTCAAAGCCAGCCTCAGCAAAAGCAAGGCACTAAGTAATTCAGTGAGACCCTGCCTCTAAATAAAATACAAAATAGGGTTGGGGATGAGTCTCAGTGGTCGAGGTGCCCCTGAGTTCAATGCCCGGTACCCACCCACCCCCCAAAAAACCTGAGCATGTTTGTGCTCAAATCTTGAATTCCACTTTGCCCTAAAGACATCATTAGAACAAATGCAAAGATTTAGTTCCAAAAATATTTAACTGATACCTCAGTTCCGTTCAGAAAAGTAGAGATAATCTAAATGTTCAAAACAGTGAATCTGTTAAATCACAGTTCAGCCACTTGGAGGAACTGAATTAACCATAAACAATTATGGTGTAGGGGACTGGTAGACTTTCTGTAAAGGACCAAAGAAGGAATAGTTTAGAGTTTCGTGAACCACATATGGTCTCTGGCTCATATTCTTCTTCATCTCTGTTTATAATCTTTAATAAACTTGCAGACTGGCCTTTGATGTAGGTAAATATGTGTCAATATGTTTATAAAATGTGATTAAGTGAAATTATGTGTCATAAAAACAGTGTAGGTTAAGTTACTTAATTTTAGTTTATATAAATGTGTGTATGTGTGTGTATATATGCATATTTATGTTTGTAAATATGTGTATCCTTGTTTAGTTAATACATGTGAATATGCATGTATTTTTTTTTCTTTTTTTTAATTTGCATGTATTTATATATACACAAAAGATGATTAAGACAATTGCCTATACATATTTTCTACAATGATTAAGTGTTAGTAGTAGTACATTTCATTATTGAAATATAAAAATGAGTCATTTTTAATTTTGTTTAGAAGACAGAACAAAAATTGGCAAAATGACCGTGTTCAAACAACAGGGGGTGTTGTTGATATGCAGTCATCAACTCAGGTGGGATTTTGTTTCTGTTTTCTAAACAGTATTGTATGAGCCACCGGAGTTTGAGATTGTTGGCTTTACAGACCACATTAATGTGACAGTGAAATTTCCACCTATTGCTCCCAAGATTTATGGGGAAGAAATACAGCACCATTTATCACTTTGCATCAAAGAAGAATCCATGGGGATTGTTAAGATGGTAAGTAAGTGGTCTCCGACACTAGGCTCAAAACAGTTCTGAGTGGGCACTAACAGACTCGACTCTCAAAAACAGAAATGTGTAGTTGCGAAATTCAAACCAATGGGTCTGGGCTTGAATGTGGCCTAAATTTAGGAAAGAAGAAGTCCGTTTATTGCTGAGATATCTTGATTTAGCCCAGTTGTGAGCTCTTTAAGAGAATAAGCCATGCACACAGCATCAGGGGACACAGAAGAGAGAAGTGTGTGGCGTAGATGGGGGGATGGCCAAATCTCAGCAAGCCAGGGTGACATTTCCTTAAAAGGGCAGTTTAGCTGAGCCATGCATGGAAAACACCTGTTGCTGCCTCTCCATTCCTCAGACACAGCACAGAAAGTGGCACTTTCCAGCAGTTCTGTCTCCACCCAATCTCCCCAAAGGACCCAACTGAATGTCAGTAACCTCTGGGTGACCCTGGTACTCCCCAGTAGGCCTTGCTCTATTAGCATCTTTTATTTGCAGAGCCCTTTGCCAGTTGAGCCTTGCACTAAGACCAGCCCTCAGGATTAGGGCAAGGGCACTTCAAACCCAGGGCACAGGAAGTTCAGAGGCCGTGAGGTTGGAGTGGGCCTGGTGGCTCACTTGAGAAATGGCAGGAGGAGGTGACTGGAGTAAAGAAAACAGGATGGGTAAGGTCCGAGAGGGAATGAAGCCAGACCTTGGAGGGCTTTGCGATTCCAGGTCTCCTGAGTATGAGAGAAGCAGCCCCTGACCTAACAGGATGTCCTGGCTGGTACGTAAGGATAGACCGTAGGTGGCAGAAGCCAAAGTTGAGATACTATTTGGATGGTAATCACTTAATAAGCAGCAATAAACTATATAATTACTATCATTTTCCTTTAATATCCACATGGGATTATAATCAACACCCTAGGAAAAGAGAACAAAATAATAGGGGAAAAATAAGTTTATATGACTCAAGGACTGTGTCAGATACCATTAACTATTATATTTCAGCCCCATCTCTTTATGTTCCAACCATGAGCTATGAACTATTACAAATTAATATTTCTAAAATGCTTATTAGACAATTAACACCACTGTAAGAGGAAAATTTTGGTTGACAGGCATCTTCTTTAAATTACATTTTTTTTTTAAAAAAAAAAGGTTACTCCCCAGGTAAGGGGAGGGGCAGAGAGAGAGAGAGAGAGAGAGAGAAAGGGAGAGATGCTTGGATTATTTGGTGGTAGTGGAGGTAGTGAGGAGCAATCAAATTCTGCATGGGGTTTGCAAGTGGAGCACAGTTATTTTCATTTAAGTCGGATTCATAATGAGGTAAAATAAGAAGGAAGTTAGGACTCCATCACTTGGACTTGTCATTAACTAAAATAGGGAAGATTATGGATGAAGTTGGTGAGAGTCGGATGGCAGCTCAGTTTGAGACATGTCAAGTTCAAGGCACCTAAAAGGAGATCTGGGGCAGGAGTTGGATGTACCAAGTGTTCGGTGGTGATCTCCCAGCTAAAGAGGGGTCCTGGGAAACCACTCACTCCTGCATATTGAAGGCCCTGAGATCAGACTCTAGATTAGAGCAGCTTTGGTGAGTCACGGGGCAAAGGGCTGGTTGGAGTGAGTTCAAGAAAGAGGGAGAAGAATTAGAGAGCTCATTCTTCTGAGGAGTTTTTCTATAATGAGAATAAGGGATATGAACTGATAGGTGGAGGAAAAGGGAAGATGGAGTGAAGGGAGAGACTTTTTAAGATGAGAGAAATTGCAGCATGTTCACATGCAGAGGAAAAGTCTCAGGGGAGGTTGCTAGATCAATGTTCTAGCATAACTGCAGTGGGTGGGATCTCAAGAAGTGGCTGGGAGCATTGCCAGTCACAGGAGTGGAGTGTGCAACACAGATGTATAAAGGAGGGTCTCTTTGTACATTTTCTGTTATTATAACAAAATACCTGAAGTTACATACCTTGTAGAGAAAAGAGGATAATTTGGGCTCATGGCTCTAGAGGTCCAAGGTCGAGAGATTGCTTCTGATGATGGCCTTCTTGCTGGCAGAGTCTGGAAGTGACAGAGGGCATCACATGGTCAGAAACAGCAAGCATGTGTGTCTCTTCTGGTCTTTTTCTGTCATCAAACCACCTGTATTCAACCTGGGGCTCCACCCTGGTGAACTTAACCAGTACTAATCACCTCCCATAGGCCCTTCCTCCAAACACTAGAGTCAATTTTCAGGACCCTTACTACCTCACGGTAAGGATTAAATTTCCACACATGAATGCTTGAGGGACACTCAAAACCATGCTGAAACCACAGCACAGGACCATTGTGGGAACTTCTATTTTCTTGGTGGGAAATAGGAAGTCGGCAGTAGAGACTTGCTCAAGGCCCCATGGATCCCAGATGTTCTGTCCTCTGCCACGTTGTGCTTTTCCGTGGGAGGCAAGAGCCCTCCCACCACGCTGTTTCCACTCTTTGTCACCTTTTCCTTCTTCATTACTTACTTCCACGCATGAGCTTTGACTTTGTTTTGTGTGTGTCTATTTAATAGCTCCTTCTCCTTCCCAAAGAAATGTATAGAAACATATTATCACCAAAGGCTGCCTTCGAACTGCTAGAAATCCCAATTTACAGAACTGCTGGTGAGAATATATTTTAGAAACTATAGAATGAAAAATTTTTTAAATTGTTATTCAGGAAAGAGCCTTCATAACATCTTTTTAATTCCAAAGTGAAACCAAACTGTAGGGGAAAGGAAGGGGTGGGGTGAGTTAGCCAGCAGCCTCAGGGCGTGGCTGCAGACAAGCTCTGTGACCTAGAGAAGTTACCTGGCCACTTCAGCTGTGGTTTCCACATCTGCAGAATGGAATGATGCCTAGGCTGTTTTGAGAGTCAGAGGAGTTACCCTAGTGGAAGTCCTTTCTGAAGTGTAAACTAGGTACACATTATCAATTCAACAAGATCATCTTGAAAAATGGCAGGCTAGAGACCTTTATCATCTTTGGGACCTTTTCTCCTCATGTGTATAATGAAGTTGGTAGACTAGATTTTATGGTTTTCATATATGTGTGTGCCTAGGCATAAATACATGTAGTTTTGTGGTGATCCTGTGATATTTCTAACCCTATTTGAAATTTGAAGATGGAACCTCAAGGAGTCTCTTACAGAGCTACCTCCAAATGAAATTCTCATGTGAGTCTTACTGTTTTTTTTTTTTTTTTTTTTTTGCTTCTTTTTACAGCATGAACCCAAAATAAATGGAAACACCACTGGAAATTTCAACTATGTCATTGACAATTTAATTCCAAACACAAACTACTGTATATCTGTTTATTTTAAACCTAAATATCTGGAAACAAGAATACAATCTCCCTCAAAATGCACCTTCCTTCGCCTTGACCAGGAATCAGGTGTGTGGCTTTCTGAAAATCATGTTTTGAAATTTCAATAGGTTTACTCTGAAGAAAACCTATTGAAAGCAAAGAATGTGGAATTCATGGTATGCTGAAAATTGCTTGAAGCAACCGCATGCAGAGGCATGGGAGGGTGCCCACTAGCTGGCTGCCTGAGGCTGGGTGTGGTCTGTAGATAAGACCTGGCTCCCAGGAGCATTGACTCTAGCTCACAGATGAGAGCGAGCTGAGCCTTGCCAGCAAGGAGGAGAAGGTGAATGACGAAGGTGGAAAGCCTTTCTGTTGCAAAAACACCAGAATAGCCAACAGTGTGATCTTGAACCCTCTTCTGTGTGCAGAAGTGTGCAGGAGAATGATAGAGCTTAGGAGTTTTCCCTGCTGGTTATCTTCTCAGGAAGTCACTATATTGCCAACTGTTGTAACAAAAGGGAAAAAATCTATGAAAGGTCTTCTGGCAAGAAGCTCTTCTAATCTTCCCAGCCCTGGTGGAAGTATCTTTAATGTTCTGCTTTACCAGAGTAAGATAAGTGGGATGTGTAAGGAGATGACTTTAAGTGACATGGTTGTTGCACATGCAGTAAGACATGCAGCAGTACCTGGCTGCAACTGGCTGTGGCTATAGCACATTGTGATTTTGTCCTCTCATGTTCCTCAAAGCTGAATGATGCACATGTGGGCTGATTTTAAAGGAAAAAGAATCTCAATCCTCTCGTTTCAGTTGTTTTTACAATATCAATTAAACAAGAGAAAACCAAAAACTGCATAAAATCTTTTTCCCTTTAGCTCTTACAAACATATAAACACAGAAGAAATTTATGTAATTATGTTCTCTCTTTTTTTTGCATTTCTCATTTTTATTTGAAAGAAAAAGTTGCTCTTGCTGTACAGATTTTTAAAAAATGAAAATGCCTTTTAAGAAACATGAAGAAAAATTGGGGGAGGGGGCCACAACCTCATGGGGGTAGGGGCCAGCTAATTTTTTAACTCCTGTCCCTTCCATCCAAGAACACCTCAACATAACTTCTAAATTCTAAACCATCACCCCCAGGAACTTCAGGTGGCTGCACCTCCCAGGGCCTCTCTGATTCTAGGCCTCAGGGTCTGAACTGTATCCTCTCCTCCCCCATGTAATCATGTTCTAACGCCAGTTATCTGACCTCAAGATGTCCAACAATCCAATTCATTTCTGATACTAACTACCCCCACTTCAGATAGCAGTCACAAGTTTTGGGTTCCCAGGTCAACTTGACTACAAATTAGAGAGTTCCTTTTGGGTTCTGCATCTCTCTGACCTAACCTATTACTCTTTTGTAATCAAAATTTGCTAAAATTGACTCACAGAACTCAGTGACATGCCACACTTCTGATTACCATTTTACTACAGAGCCTGTGCACCAAGACCTAATGCAGAAGTACGTAGAACCAGGTCTGGAAGGGGTCCCAATGCAGGAGCTTCTGCCTCCATAGAATCAGGGTGTACCCCCTCCCAGTACTCCCAGTATGTTCACCCATCCAGGAGCTCCCAAGCCTTAGTGTTCTGGGCTTTATTGAGTTTCACTATATAGGTGTGATTGGCTAAATCATTGGCCACAAGATTGGACATAGTCTCCATCTTCTCTCTCCTCCTGGGGATAGGGCTGGGAGGAAGTTCCAACCCTCTGATCAAATGATTAGTTTTTCTATTGATCTGCCTTCATCCTGAAGATACCTAGCTGCACCCCATGAGTCATTTAATTAGCATAAACTCAGAAATCAGTCTTAGCCTATTTTCTGCTGCTATAACAGAGTCTTGGAACTGGGTAGCAGGATGGAGGACATCACATATGGGGGAGAGTGCTCATTTTATAACAAAACTACTTCCAACATCTAACCCTTTCCCACAATACCAGCATTACTCCATTCAGAAGGGCAGGGTCCCATGATTCATATACCTCCCCAAAACATCACAGTGACAATTAAATTTCAGTGAGCTTTGGAGGAGTCATTTCAACCACAGTAGTCCCTAAATGGGGCTTGTTAGAATTAACAAAAGATACTGCTATCTCTTAGGAAGTTCCACAGCTTTTGAGGTTTTATGCCCAGGACAAAAACCAGAGAGTCCAGAGGTAGATTGATGGATGGATAGATAGATAAAGAGACATAAATGAAATTATATCCTAGTCTTATATAGAAACAGAACTCTCACATATATAATACAACTTAAATTGTTAAAATGACAATAGGATGATGCTTTGATGAAACCCAGAGCTGCTGATTGGGCAGCTGACAGTTCTTTGGAGGCTGACATGTCTGGGAGGATGCGCTTCCCCCTGACTTTTCTCTAATCCACCTGCTGAGAAATGGTCATGCAGCACCGTCCAGTCATTCCATCTGCACTTGGCCTGACCACGTCCTCTTGCCTATTAAGTCAGCTTTCACTCATCCGTCATGTCCAAGACAGTTAGACTATCCAAATACTTGACATCTGGATTCTTCTCGTCTGAAACTCAGGAACCAAATAGGTTTGAATACGGTGGCATCTGTCCCTATCTGCTCACCATCTGAACTGCCCTCAACTAGACAAGCTCAAGATCCACACAGGGCAAATCCTGAGGGGTTTGGAGGGGCAACCTGAGACCAGCACTAACTTACTCAGACCCAGCAAAAGCACTGCAGGCTTGGATGGGTCAGACTGATGGGGTGGTTGGGCAGAGTGGGCTGGGCATGGGATGGCAAGTGTGAGCTGAGCAAAGAAAGAAGAGTAACAGGTTAGTCATAGAGATGGAGGACCCAGATGTGGGACTTTGGATGCCATTGTGGGGACCCCGAAGGGATGTGAACAGATCTGAATGTCTGGTTGCCACCAGGTGGGGGAGCCAGGGGACTAATGGGCTGGAACTACGGTAACCTAGATGCCATGTCGTGGTTTTCGGTCCACACCAATAAACTGACATTAGTCATCAATCAGCCTTTTGACAAAGTTCTTTTTCTTTTCCATTAAAAAAGAAAATAGTAATCAGATATTACCATTCTTGTTGCTCAGCTCAGCCCTCTGCTCATAAGGTCCTTTATTTTTTTGAAAATCCCAATGCAATTCCATGGAAAATCCAAATTTTGAAGACACAACCTGGTCTCCCCTTCTCAAGATGCATTGATCTTACCCCTCTTTTATGAAAAAGATGGTTAACAGAAATAAAGTCCACTTACAACTTCCTCCTGAGTTGGAACATCGAAACAATTCCTCTCTTTTCAAATAGGAATATTTTAAAATAGTATACTTGCATAATCTACCAGTCTTTTTAGATTATCATCGAGCTAAATATAAACATTATAGGCCCATGCCTATAATCCCAGCAACTCAGGAGGCTGAAACAGGAGGATGGCAAGTTTTGAGGCCAGCCCCAGCAAATTGGTAAGGCCCTAAACAACTTTGTGAGACCTTGTCTCAAAATAAAAAGTAAAATGGACTGGGGATGTAGCTCAGTGGTAAAGTGCCCCTGGGTTAAATCCCTAGTACCAAACAATAAAAAAATAAATAGAGACAAAAATTTTAAGTTCTCACAAAGAATGCTCAGATTTGTGAGAATACCCCAATTTGACAAGCATTGTTCTAGCTTGTTAATTTCAATTTACATAATTTAGTTTGTAGGATGTCCTATTTTAAAGATTGCATTTGGTCTGTGTTAGTTGCCTTTATGTTACTGTAACAAAACCTGAGATAATCAACTTGTAAAGAGGAAAGGTTTTTTTATTTTGGCTCAAGTTTTGGAAGTTTTGGTCCATGGTCGATTGGTCCAGTCGCTCTGGAGAGGCAGCACATCTCAGTGGAGGGCACATGGCAGTGCAAACTGGTCATCTCATGGCTGGGAGCAAGAGTCAGAGAGAGAGGTGACTGGGTCCCATTGTCCCCTTCAAGAGCATGCCCATAGTGACCAGAAGATCTCTCACTAGGCCCTCCCTCTTAAATGTTTTCCAACACCTCCCAATAGCACCACAGACGGAGGACCAAGCCTTTAACACATGAGCCTTTGGGGTACATTCTAGACATTCCAAACTACAGCAAGATCCTTTGTAGCTACTCTCCAGAAATTGAATGGGTACATGAGTCAGAACCTCAGTTTTATGCCATTGCTTCACCAATGAAGTCCTTTTCAGGAGATGTGGAAGAATTTTGCATCATAAAGGTGCATCTGTGCAGCTAGAACAGATTTTAGGACTGTCCTTGATTTGATGATCCTGCACTCAGTTTTTAATTCTGCACAATTTTATTTGTTTGTATTTAAACAGTCACAGCTAGTGGGACAGTGCAGTTACAGAACATAAACCAAAAGAAATTTCACTTTGAAATACATGAAAAGCTAAATATATTTTATTGGTTAAAGAGTACGGCCCTTGCCTTGCTCTCCAAGCTTTGGTATTTAGCAAATAGAAAACATTATTTTTCAAACTTCTGTTTCTCAGATAATCACTTTCTAACCCCTGACCAATGTGCATTTATTCCCATCTGTGATCATTTATTGGATGTCTTTTGAAATAAAGTCTTTTTTTTTTTTCAAACAGAATCATCCGAAAATGCCAAAATAAGTGTGATAATCACTGTGTTTTCAGTAGTCTTCGTCCTCCTAGGCACCATCGTACTACTGAAGCGAATTGGTTACATATGCTTAAGAGATAATTTTCCCAAAGTCCTGGTATGTGGTTTTAAAAATTTTTGTATCTTAATTTTTCTAAACTAAAAATTTTTACTATATATTTAAATGTTTTCATAGAAGAAAGTTCATTTCCATAAACACCAACAAGTCTTATCAGGCTGGGTTCTTTTCCATCCCTGCAAAAATATATTTTGCAGTTACAGTGCGTCTGTGCCTTATGTTTTCTCTTCATATACTGTCCACCTATTATTTATTTCCACCTATTATATTATTTCTAATGACTACACAGAATTCCACTGTTATTATTGTATCACATTTTTAACTACAGCACATTTGGATTGATTTCTTTTTCACTTCTTTTCCTTTCTTTCCTTGGACATTATAAATAGTGCAAAGGAAATTATTGTATGGATTATGTTTTGTTTTATTTTGAATTATTTCAGTGGAATCTACACACCAAGTAGATCTATCTTATAAATGATATTTTAAAGAACTGATGCTAAGCTAGGCGCAGTGGCATACACCTGTAATCCCAGGGGCTCTGGAGGCTGAGGCAGGAGGATCACGAGTTTAAAGCCAGCCTCAGTAACTTAGTGAGGCCCCAAGCAACTCAGAGAGACCCTGTCTCTAAATAAAATATTTTTAAAAGGGCTGGGGATGTGGCTCAGTGGTTAAGTGCCCCTGGTTCAACCCCTAATGCCAAAAAAAAAAAAAAAAACCTACAAGAACTGAGCCAGTAGTGATGTGTATCTCTCTCTAATGCTCCACTGACCACAATGAATCATTTTTACTGTCTTTATTCATTGTGTACATAAGGCTCCCTGGGAGGTGCTCTCATGTGTGTTACTTTGATTATTAACAAAAACAGCCATTTGTTTACCTTCATTTCCTCTCTGTGCTTCTCAAACTTAGAGCCTTTACAGAGGCTAGATATTGATCGTACACTTTTTTAAACCTCGTGGTTTTTTTTTTTACTCGACTGCATTCACCCATCATTTTCCATTTTCCCTATTTTATTCCTTCCTTTTATGTTAGTAACATTTAGAAATACATTATTGTTTATGTTTGAACTCATACACCTAATTCTAATTTTTCAGCAGCCATTATAATTAAACATTACTTCATGGTTGATAGAAGTGCACTCCTAGGCCGGGTGTGGTGGTGCACCCTGTAAGCCCAGCAGCTTGGGAGGCTGAGGCAGGAGGATCATGAGTTCAAAGCCAGCCTCAGCAATTCAGTGAGACTCTCTCTCTAAATAAATGAAATATAAAAAGGGGATGGAGGATGTAGCTTTTGGTTCAATCCCCTGGTACCCAAAAAAAAAAAAAGTGCATTCTTCATGCTCATCTTACCATGTTGACATCTTATGTCTGTCTAGTATTTCTCCATTAAAAATTGTTACTCTATGTTTAGGTTAAAAACCCTGGGAATGGAGAAACTGACTCTAGGCCTAGCACCTTTGCTTATGTGTGTTCAATCAAGAATAGCTGTTATGAGCTGGGGTTGTGGCTCAGTGGTAGAGCACTTGCCTGGCATGTGTGAGGCCCTGGGTTTGAGCCTCAGCACCACATATAAATAAATGAATAGTCCATTGACAACTAAAAAAAAATTAAAAATAAAAAAAGAACAGCTGTTAACATTTTTTTAAGCAGCATCTTCTCTTCATTTAGCAAGTGTAACAAACATGTCAACATGTTTCTGGGTGTGGAGGACACAGCAGGACAAAAACCCCCGCCCTCATACACCTAGAGTTGAAAGTGCTGTAGAGACAAGATACTTTATTGGTGATATATGATTGTCTAAATTTTAAAAGTCACATGATTCTAAAGATAAACTATTTAGGATTAATACGTTTAGCAAAGTCCTCATATTCAAAAATATTTGGGAAAGACTGCATCTGTACTGACTTGTTTTCTTGTCGTTGTTGCCGAAGCAATACAGTATGCCAGCCATGCACAAAGCTGTCCCTCCAGGGGACTGACAGTTGAAAGGGAATGCGTGGAGGTTCCATGCAAATGCACTGCTTTATATAAGGCACGTGCGCTCAGGGGATCTGGAGGGCCAGCTGTGCCATGCACCAGGAGCCAGCGTGGCACCAGTGAGCACTACCTAACCCCGGCTCCCCCTGTTGTTCCTGCAGTCATCATCCCCATCTGCCATGGTGCAGTGGCTACTCAGCTTTATTATGTAGAAAATAAAGAGCAAACACAGTAATAGACTAATTGTCTGTCTCTTCTTCTCCCCCTGCCCTCTCTCTCTCTCTCTCTCTCTCTCAAGAATTTTCATAACTTTGTAGCCCAGATATTTCCCGGTCTACCACCAACAGAAGCTGTGAATGCAGTAGAAGTCATTTCTGTCAACAAAAAGAAGAAAGTATGGGATTATAATTATGACGATGACAGTGACAGTGACCATGAAGTAGCTCTCAGAACTAGCGCCGGTGGTTACACCATGCACGGACTGACCAGCAGGCTTCTGAGCCAGGTCTCCGCTGCCTCCCAGGAGCCTGAGATGGAAGGCTCCGAAGCTGAGGAATCTGATCCTTACGAGGCTGAGCCTGAGCCCCACCCCGGGCCCCCTACGGTGCCAAAGCCCAGCCCCTGCCACACAAGTGGTCCCTATGAGAGGAGAGAGAGCTTGAGCCAGGACTCTTTTCCTGAGGACAACTGCAGCTCCCCTGGAGGGTCCGGGGACAGAATTACCTTTAATGTGAATTTAGACTCTGTGTTTATGAGAGCTCCTGATGACGATGACTCAGAAGAATCCCCTTTGGTGTCATCTCTTCCAGAAGAGATCATCAACTTAGAAGAGGATCCTGACCAAATGGAATCCTGTCTTCTGGTGGCCAGTGGGGAAAGGTCACAGTTGCTCGACCTTAGCCCCTTTTCCCAGTGCCTGTGGACTGAGGAAGATACTCCATCTGATAGAAGTGATACTTCTGATTTTGATGTTGACTCTGGAAGGGACGGTTATATCATGAGATGATTCTGAATATAGCTCATTAACTTGAACTAAGAAGTCCACATAGGGTTCTCGCCCTGTACACAGACTTGTTGCCTCATGAGCCACAGGTGGTCTGTGAGGAAAGGAGTACAAGGAGTACAGAACTGTAGGGGCTGGCCAGTTCTTCCTGATGACATAATCTGTGAGCATTCCCGGTATGGGAATATATAGTATCATCGAGCACACTGTTTACAAGTCCAAGTGATACATTTTGAAGACGCATGCTCTGCCTTCTCCCTTTATTCTAATATACTTCTTAGGAATCTCATCTTGGTTCCCAATAAGCAAGATTCCCTGTGTTCTTCAGGGTGATCTTGTCCCTCTGGCCCTGTAATGTTTCTGGGAAACAACTGAATTGCCAGGATGGGAGAAGCGAGAAAGAAGGGAAAATCCTAGCAGGAGCTATGAGTAGTGTGAGCAGGTAGAGACCCTGAGCCCAGGAAGCTCAAGGAATGAGCAATAAACCAGGCTGAAGGGATGGGTTGGAGCAGGATTAGCTGGAGAGAAAGGATGCAGATGCATAAGGAAACAAGGGAAGGGCCAGCAATTTCAGTCAGTGGTCCCTGGGCACCTCTCAGATGTCATATTGTCACCACCAAGCTGAGAACTCCACTCAGGTGCTCATGCAGCCCTTCCCGGCTTTAAGAGTGAAATACAGATATGCACATTAATAACTGTAGTATCAGGCAGGACACATTGCATGAGGGAGAGGGATAAAAATCTCAGTGTCCCATTTTAAGATCTAAAAAAAGAACAAAATCAAAAATGCTTCAAGGTCTTTGGAAGAAAGGTGGCCTACAAGTCTAAGAGATCCTGTTTGTCAAATTTTAAAGTGCTATGTGCTGATTGCAAATATCCTCAATGGGACCAGTTACTGTAAATGGGGCAAGGGAGGGGGGTGAAATCCTAGAAGTCATGTAGCAAACAGTATTAAGCACTGAGAGTCAGAGTCGGAGTTCTAACTGCTCAAATTTCGCTGTATGACCCTGGGCATTTTACTTGGCCTCTCTGAGTCTCAACTTCTTTTATTTTTTAAACAAAATTTCTAAAAAATTTATTTTTTAGGGTGACTATGTAATCTCTAAGACCCTTTGAATCTAGAAGTATTTAAAAACACACAGGAATAATAAATAAATACAGAAGTTCCACGACCCTGCCAGGCTCCCAGGAAGGATGAAAGGTTGAGGATCTTCCCATCTCACTCCCCTTACCCCAAGAGCAGGTTTCTCAGACCCATCTCCTGGGCCTATTCAAAAGGGGCAAAGCAAAAGTCATGCAGGTCGTGGCTCAAGGATTTTTAATAGGTAACTTATGTAATTGCTGTAAAGTAACCCAAGAAGGAAACCCTTATTTAAGAATCTAATGAAATCCCTTAGGAAAGAGACCTTGTCCTACACAAAAGCCACCACTTTGCCTTCTGAACGTATGTATCGAATTTTGAAAGATTTCACATTGCTCTTTTGATATGACCTCTCTGGTGCTAGTTTGTCGCCCCTGGCGCTTATTTTTAAAGTTTTGTATAACGGTTGGGTGTTTGGTAAAGGGTAATAATACAAGAATACTTTTTCGTACAAACTTGATGTGGGCCTCAGAATTTTTTCTCATCCAAGAGTGTATTTGTGCCGCAGATTTTTGCTTCTGCTGGCATCCCGGAATTGCACCAGCTCCCTCTACAGCGACAATGGCCCCTGGCCTCCGGGCACGAGCTGGGGTCAGGCGAAGCCCTAGGTTGCCCAACACGTCCGCCCGCTGGTTTCTAACCTCACCCACCCTTGAGCAAGTCCCCAAAGAGGAAGTTAAAGCTCTCAGCAGTCTTGTGACGAACTAGCATCTGGGAAACGAATGACGTGTTGGCGTGTTCCTCCCGGGGAGCCCTGGAGAAGGCTGGGGTCTGCTCACCGAGCGCTTTCCAGAGGACGCGGCGTTCCCGTGGGAAGAACCGGGGGAACACAGAACTGCACAGAGCCAGCAGCCAAGCCCCAAACCCGGAGCACCTGGTGGCGTGGCAGCGCCCTCTCCAGGCCGAGGCCGCCTCGCGCTCCTGCTCGCCGAGGCCCCGCCCCCGACCGCCGCTTCTCCAGAGGCGCGGGCCAGCCCGGGGGCGGGGTCGGGGCGGGGTCTCGGCGGGGCGGAGCGCTGAGGCCGCTCCACGCGGGTTCCCGGAAGCGCGCGCGGGGTGGTGGCCGCGGCGAGTGTCTCGCGCTCCCTTGGCGTCCCCGGCGCCCTCGCCCGCCCCCGGCGCGGCCATGGCGCGGAGCCTCGCCTGCTGGCTGGGCGGCTGCCTGCTGGTGTCAGGTGAGGGGTCTGCGGGAAGGGGCAGGGGGACCGCCGCGGGGGAGGCGCCAGGGAACCGCGAGGCCCGGCGAGATGCTTTGCTACGCACGCGGGGTGGCGATTCCCCAGGCGGCGACCCCAGATCGCAGCTGGTGGGTGCCCGTAAAGGGACCCAGTGCCGTGACCGGTCGCCGCACCAAGCTGCTGCGGCCGCCGCCCTGGATCCTGAAGCTGGGGAGGAGCCCCACCCACACCCGGCCCGCACCGTCCAGCCGGCGATCTCAAGGGGCGCTCCCCGCGTGCTGCGTTCGCGCTTGCTGCAGTTCCCGCCGGCGCGTCCTAACCAAGCGGCCTCCAGAGAGGCACAGAGCCTCCCCCGGCGGCTGTCTCAGACCCTCCTGGAGTCTGGAGGCGGCCCCTCCACGAGGCCCATTACACATCCTCCTCCTTCTGCCCGATCATCACCAGACCTGCTAGCAGAAGGGTCCACATCACCTTCCCCTTAAGCACTCGGCCCTGCGCCTTGAAATCTGAATTCTGCCGCCCAGTGTTCCGCTGTGGGGCTTTTGCGAGCTAAATCCAGTGAAACCTTCTCTGCCCTCCTCTACAACGAGTGCCCAGGTTCAAACAGCGCGATGGCTGACCCCTTCCTTCTTTGGGATGAACTCTGTGCTGGCCTTTGAAGCCCACACTCTCCAGTTTCTTCCATACCTCTCAGGATGGTTCTACTTGGGATCCTCTGCCTGATCTCTCTGTAGTTGAGTTCATGACCAAGCCTTCTCTCCCGCCCCTAAGTTTCAACAGACCAGTGGCATTAAATAATAGACCTGTGACTCTCACCTTTGTGTCTATTGGTACTAGTCGGGTGATAGGTGTGTTTATTATGCTCTCCTCTCTGCTTGTGTGTATGTCTAGAAAATTCTATTTAAAAGTTTAAAAATAATTTCTGCCTCTACCTCACATCCGCCCTCCCTGTGAGGGCCAAGCTGGCTTATCCAGCTGTTTACCTGACCTCCCCCCTTGAATCTTTTTTCAGCCTCTCCCATTTCAGAACTGAAATGGTTCCCTGCCCAGGCTCCAATCAGGGCACCAGATGCATAAGCCAGAAATGGACATTCATTTCAGTTCACCACATCAGAAAGTCTAGAGTTTATACCTCTGGAAATAGATCTGAAATCCACCTGCTGAGCCCTAACTCTCACACCTTTCTTCTAATGCAGGTCACCATCATCTGTCCCCACTTCATTTTCGCTTCCTACCTACCCCCACCCCAAAATTTCTTCTTAAACTAAAACTAAGAAGATTTTAGTTCTTCAAATAAAATCTAGTCTCCTCAGCACAATTAACACACCCTCCCTCTCTCCCTCACCTACATGTCATTTGAAGACACAGAGCCCTAGGGGAGACCAAGGTGTTGAATGTGTCATTTTGGGGACAATATTTTTTAATGAAAAAAAAAGTTGTATATATTTTTTTCCCTTTGTTTTTACAGCATCGGGGCTTGTGCCACCTCCTGAAAATGTCAGAATGAATTCAGTTAATTTCAAGAACATTCTACAGTGGACGTCGCCTGTTTTTCATAAAGGGAATCTGACTTTCACAACTCAATACCAAAGGTGGGTCTGGTGGCTCTTGGCAGGAAGGTGCCAGAACATGGTGGCCTTGGGCCAGGCCATAGAGGGAGGGAACCTAACTGTCACCCATGACAGCTAAGATGAGCCTCCCTGCTGACCTTTCTCTTTCCATCTAGGGAATTCCTGTGGCCAGCTTTTCCTTTTTATGATTCCCTCTTGGACTGTTTATTACAGGGCTGGTTGTAGATCTGGACGTGTTATCATGGGTGTAGATGTAGTCAGCCACAGTGGTAGTCTCACGGTGACTCAGTGCTATGCCAAAACTATCTCATCACCACTGATGTATTTTAAGAGGAAAATGCTACTGCTGTCATCTCCAGTTATTAGAGTAATATTGATACAAGTCAGTGTCCAAATAGAAGCTGACTATCTGAGAAACCAAGGTATGCAAAGCAGGCAGGAAGACCCCTGCTCCCACACCATCCACCGCCTCCTGTGGATTAGAGCAGCCCACACCAGTGCCAAGCAGTGCAGTTGACTTGCCCAGTGGACTGTCAAAAACTCCATTGTCTGACAACAGCAGAGACTCTGGACAACAGCAGAGACAACTGTCACCCCTGACAATTATCTCAGGAGTGCTCTGAACACCCTCTACCTGTTCTGCTTGGTCACATTTCCCTGATAAAAGATAAAGAAGTCCATACCACCCCTCCCTTGGCAGCCTGTCACCATCTGCCACAGGTTGGACTGTAGGTGACACACCTTCACACCAGGTACAAATAGCAGCAGGAGGCCCAAGGCCAATGAGTGACGTGCCTGTGGCTCAGAGGAGGATAGACCAGCCCTTCAGTGAGGCAGGAGGAGATTCCCTTCAGTCCTGTTAATCCCATCCCCCACCCCACCCAGCTGTCATTTAATCAACACACCCAAGGCCCGTGAAGTCCTAGAATCCAAGTAGGAAAAAAAAAGATAATCTTTATCTACAAGTTGAGTTTTTGTTTTGTTTCTAGTTTAAAATAATTTCACACAACAAAAAATTCCAAAATTTCAAGTATAATACTAAGAACTTTAGATGGCCTACATCCAAATTCACCAGCTTTAAAATTTGCCACATTTCCTCTCCCTCCTTCCTATTTATCTCTTACACAGAATGCCCTTTGCCCCTTAGTATTTCAATGTATGTGTCATAAGTACAAGGATAATCTTTTATATCCCACAGTATAGTTATCAAATTCAGGAACGTCAACATGGCACAAAGCTTTCATCCAGTCTACAGTATAGAGTCCAAGGATTGAAGGAAGGTCATTCCACAACTTTTTTTTCCTGAGGTATATTCTTAGTACTAAGTCCTAGGACTCATATTTTTCTCCACTCAGTCTGGAAATCCTTAGAGATTTCACTGTGGAAAATTAACTATCCTCTTTTATCAGTCTGTTTTTTATTACCACTATGAAATACCTGAGGCTGGGAGCTTTATAAAGAAAATTTTTCCTCATAGTTTTGAAGGTCTAAGGCCAAAGTTTATATCTGGCCTTCTTGCTGGCAGGGTCCCAAGGCAGCAGTGACAGGGAGCAACACATGAGAATACTGGTCTCTCTCTTATAAAGCCACTAGTCTTCAATCATGGGACCTCTGCCCCTATGACTTTATCTAAACCTAATCACCTCCCAGTGGCCCTCTGAACACATAGTCAATTAAGTGTCCACCCGGTCAATAACTCACAGTGGGGAAACACCGACATGTGTTTTAGAGGGAATAAACCATAGCACCTCTCTTTCTGTCTCTCTTCCCTGTGGTTTATTTTGGTGGGTCTGTGCTTTGCTGTTTTGCCATTGTAGTAGTTTTGCCATTGTCTTTTGGACAGAGGTCTCAGTGACTTTGTGAAGGTATGGGAGAGGTCATTCTCCAAGTCAGCACCTGGGCTCCAGCTGTCCTCCTCAGGAAACCACAGACAGAACATGGCATGTGCTAGGGCAAATAAACACATGCTGGCCACGTCCTTGGGGAAGAGGTTGGTCCCAGGAGATCTGATTCCTCTTACTTGGCTTCACAGAAGTCTTGCTTAGATTTAACCTGAACAGTTGCACAACAGGAGCTCTCTGTTGTGCGTCTGTTGTCAGGCTGGCCAGGATGGGGCTCTCTAGAAGATAGATTGGTGGTTACAATATGGAAACATCCAAAACTTAGATGTAAATATGGGGAAGGGGTCATATTACCTATTGAATGGGGAAAGAGTTATTTGTGAAAGCAATTAAAATAACCTAGAAGTTATTGCAAAACAACTTTTGAAATGCTGTCGGCCAACTGATACATCAGTTTAAATTAAGGAAATGGCCAAATGTGAGAAAGTCCCTTAATGACATGACCCCTGGATTTTCCAGATAATAGGATATAAGACAGCCATGAAGAGTTGATTAATTGACTCATTGTCTGGGGCGTATTAAGTGGGAAAAGTAAATTATAAAATAGTATGATCACAATTGTCTCTACCTACTTTTTGCAAGGGATTGTTCTAAACATCACCAAGAATGCAGTGAGATGTGGTCTCCAAGACTCTAAAGTGAAACACAACTGAATGTAGTTGGACAGGTTTCCTAGGCTCTGCATACCTGACCCCTAAGCTGATGAATGTTGCTATTATTATCAGCATCACCATCATTGTTACTTCTGAGGACAGCCAAAGTGGTTTTGACATTTAGACAGGAAGATACAATGGAAAACTAGTCAGACTTCTCACTTACAGGAAGGGAGGCTGTGTGTCCATGGGTTAGATGGTGCCAATTACCCTCCTCAGGCTCTCCTGAGGTTAAGTTGTGGGAGGTGGAATTTGCTTAGCATCCCGGTGTTTCCAGATGTCATCTCTTCTTCCACATGATGTTTTTCCACTCTATCTTCAGTGGTCGCTGTTGGGGCTATTGTCCTGACTGAAATTCATATTTGTTTTATACTTTTTCTAGAATAAACAATGTGAACCATTTCTAGGACATTATTTGAAATCAGCATAATATACTTACTTAATCTGTGTGTATCAAAATCTCATAAGTCATGCCTCACTGCTTTAAGATACACACAACCAAGGAAGGAAGGAAGCTTTCTTGGTCAAATATTTTGAATACTCAACCCCTTTCTGGAAAGACACATGCTTATTAGGATGTAAGGTCTCTGGGAGATTCTAATATGAAAACATCTAATTTTATGTTTAATGCAATTTCCCCCAAAATT